ATTTTGCTTCTCATCCGAAGACCTTTCTCAACAGACCGATTTTTAGTTTTTGAAAATATTGTAATTTTCTGCAAACACAGCATTGTAGGTAGGGGTCAGAAGTATTTGATATAAACAAGTAAGGGGTCTATAATAGAAAGTGTAATTTGAAGTTTTTATTTGTAAATATATACATTTGCAACATGTGCCAACTTTATTTTAACACAATTTTGGAATAATTTGATGCATTTATCATTAGAATATAATTACCACTTTCATTGTTGTTTAACCTTTCATATAATTTTAATTTCTATTCTTTTTATACGCTCTTAAACATGCAGTAGCTGAACTGAAAAAAACATGGGAAATTCAAAATATTTTATTRKTTTAGAGCCRACAGTTAGTATCTACAGAACAACTGTGGTAGCAAAAACACTACCAAAACAAGACAAACAATCCAATCTAAAGCTTAAAGAAATTTATGAAAAATCTCATCTTAAAAGAAAGTTTAACACAAATTTGTTCGGAGCAAATACATTGAGTCCATAAAACAACAAAAATTTGTTGGATCAGTTTCTTCAACTCCAATAGCATTTCAACAGCAACCTAAGTTTATCCCGAATGACCTGTGACCTCGCTGCTTCATGTATTTGTAATTACAAAATGGTCTATTCAGACTAAATATTACTGCACTTCAGGCTTATAAATTCTAATGAAAAGCATCTTATTAAAGACAAAACAGTCCAGTTGCCTTTTATTAAACCCACCAAGATGCCTTAGATGACTGAGAACCTCCACCAGCATGTTTTCTTTTTCCCTGTTTATTCAAATATACAAACACATATTTTAGAAGGATTTTTAATCAGGGATGATCACATTGAGAGCTCACTTAAGTTCATTTTAACTCGTCACGTCTTATCGTTTTAACATTGAATACCTAAAACTGGTCACGTACCACTGTCTAGTTTTGCCAACAGCCATGTTATTTTTAAGTCAACATGGTGCTTAAAGAGTAACTTACCCCAAAATTAACATTTTTTAGCTGATAAACTGTCTAGAATGTGTCTAAAATGTTATATAGTACTGTTTCTGAGCTAATTTTGATGTTTTTGTGCGTATTTGTTCAAATCTGTAATATTTGGTGTAAAAATGTGTTTTTGCTGCTCATTTGGGTGGAGCAGTGGTACTGCAGGCTAATTTGCATATTGCGAATATAACGGCTCTCCACGGTGACGTGTCTTCTCCACAGTTTCGTCACAGCGGCTGTGTTCTGGTATAAAAGCC